ACTTGGAATTAACTTAGGGGAGGGATGGCAATGCATACACAAAAACGTTGGATAGTCAATTTCTATTTTTTCTTTATCTGCACGCAGAGGCTACAGCACAAAAAAATGGTATCGACCTTTRAAATAACAATACACATGGTCCATTTTTGGAAGAAAAAACTGTAAAAAAGTGAATTGGTAAATTGGTTATTAAAGGCTATATATATATTATATATGTACATACTCTTTAATTAAATTTACTTGGCATTTCGTATTATACAAAGTGTTTCGTACCATATACAATTGTAGTACTTGGTCGTCTGTATTTTTAATACTGCGTGATACCATGTACCTGGTATGCAGGGCTGGGTTGGGCCGTTAAAGTCGCCGTGAGGAGCCGCTGACTGAAACTACGAGTTAAAAGTTGAAGGAAGGGAGACTAAATCTAAATGTTGGACTTTTAAAATTGGGTCAAGAGCCACGCCATTTTGGTAAGTGGGCCGGTAAAGTRCGGAAAACTCGATGGGCCGAATTTGTCCGATCCTGCTATGCATGYAGGTATGTTTATCGCTTTAAAATAATTTGCAATATTTTGAATTTCKATGTTATTTGTAGGTAATCGTAATCGGTATGTATAGTCAGTGTTATACACCATCATCACTTGGTACATTATAGTTGGTCATGAAACGTATTTAATATTATTCGAACAAACTAGCAGTCGAGACCAATAAAAATATTAAGTYAGCTTCACATTTTATCAAGGTAAAGTGGTAATCGTTAAGCAAGAGAGTGCAACACAATATTGTAATTACATAATTTTTAAGTGATACACTCTATCGCGGTGTACTAATACGATGTTTTTCTGTGCTCGCAGAGCTTGTCGAATAATAATAGTAATAATATATTTTAAGTACATAATAATATCGTACGATTGTAAATGTTGTATATTCAAAAACATTAAAACGAGACTATGTCGTCGAATTATACTATCCATTAGTTTCCGAGCAGTTTAATAATAATAATAATATCGTTATTATGTGCTGTAAYAATAATATAAAAACTTACACCTACCTACCTACTTTCTCTCCGAACGTGTGTAGATACACAAAAGGAACAGCTGATTTTGTAATGGACGTTTAACAGGCACTTTTCCTTGAACAAATATTATTTTTTCTCTCTCCAATGGAATAATTAAATGAAAATACTAAAATCAGTAAGTTGAAAATAATGTACAAAATACATGTTTATTCATTATATTTTTTCTTCAATTTTTAATATCATTATCAAGTACAGGTTTGACAATAGAAAATTTTTAAATAACAGTATAGGCCACGACTTTCTTTTACATTACACAAGCTRGCTTAAATTAACAATTATGCGATTATCAATTTAGAACTGCTTATGTATAAGTTATTTAAATCCGCTAGTCATAATAAAAGAATGTTAGCAGACCGATAAAAAAACAATTTTAAAAACCAAACAATTCTTAGGCAAAAATTATTGTTCAAATTAGAAATGATCTATTATACATAACATAATAAATAAACAAAAATATAATCATAAAATGGAGACAAACTTGATGATTGTTTATTTACATTGTTTTTAAAACAAAACAATTCTTAATTTATTATCATGAGCAAAAATATGATTTTCAAATGGTATCAGTTATAATGTTGAAACAATGTAATATTGAACAGTGGTTTGTATAATATAAAAAAAAAAAAAATATATATATAATGCTACACAAATTCTAGACTTTTTAACTTCATATATTTCAGAATTAAAATGTAAAACTAACTAGGTACAAATAGAATAAAATACACAAAGATCAGTTGATACCATATGTACTAATTACATAGACAAAAATCACAATTTTAGTTTTTGAATAAATTAGTTTTTTTTACTAGATAAGGAAAGAATTTTTTTCCAAAAATATATTTACGTTCCAGTTTGATGTTTCTGAGCAGGTTCAATTCTCAAAATTATAAAATAATTTTACCAGTTGTACATTATTCTTTTACAATTATACACAGTTCATATAAAAATTGGTCAAAAAACATTTTATTACTTGGATAATAAATATACATTGCTGGCAAAAATAGCAATAAGGGATACAATAATTTTAAGTCTTTTAAATTTATTTTTATTTATGTTACCAGTTATCACCATAAAAGAAGCTCACAGTTTTCAATTTAAAATACTACTTAATTAATATTGTGAAGTTCTACATAAGTAATATTTCATTAATAGTATTTTGCTAAAATTTCTAAAGCTATATTAGGTATGGCCTTAACTATTCAATATGTACATTATCTACCTACCACAAGTATTATATTACAATGTTCAATATAATAGTTGTGTATAAATTAAATTATTATATTAATTAATACCTATATCACGAATTTAAAACAAAAATAATATGTAATAATAAAATGATGTTATAAACAATGGCACCATAATGTTCTTTCTACATAATATTAAGACTGCCAGTTTTTCATTTTAACAGTCTAAATTTTTTCTCAAACAAAACCAAATTATCATTGTTGTATTGTGTTTTTTTTCTATCATTAATTTATCAAAAAGTTGTACACACTCGATTGGGTCAACATTTTCCTTTTGTTTAGTTTGTGAAATTAAATACAAATTAAACTTAATTCTCTAAGAGGAATGAAAATTTATTATACATAGGTACGTTATTAGTAAAAACATAAGATTGTTTTGTCCTTTYATAGAAAAAAAAATATATAATAAAAATAATATAGTAATAATAGATTGCAAAATTGATAGGTTTTGTGGATTGTCTTGGAAAAACAAACTTTTAGAATCAGTACACATATATCTGTTTGAGCTGGTCCCGTAGTTCTGCGGGTATTTTGTATGCGTCTTGTTGCTGTTGCTTTTTGTGCACCAGTCTTCGCCACTTGCCTCGCAAGTTTTTCCGTAGTCCCTTGCGGTGCTCCGCGGTTTCTTCGATGGGTACACTGCACACCAATGTGTCCTGAAAAAATCCAACAAGAATCCTGTCAGTTACATTGAAACAAAACGGCTGGAGGTGACCAATGAGTGTAAAGGAACTTTGGAAATGTTGTGTTAAAAAATTTAGCACCGCCATTGGTATAATGTTCAAGGCAATGTCTTGGGCCACCGTAACAATAATACTAATGTTATCCATTATGTTCTCACAAAACCAGCAGAACGCACTAAACTATGTTTAACCTTCTATGGYGTGTGTGTAGGCACATTCCGTACACATCACTATCCTTGTCTTGATAATGAGTTCCTCCCACTTGAACGCAGATAAGATGAACAATGTTCAATGAGCTCATTATCAGTGAGAAAGGTTAGGTAGGTACCTGCTACTACTCGTTAAAAAAAATTAATAATTTAGAAATCAATTATTGTTGTTCGGTTCCTACATCAATGGTCAGACTTTATCGTTTGAATTATAACCGTCTACGCATGTTGTGGCAGGCTAATGAGTGATAATCAAAATATAATCGAACCCAACCAACGTATGGCAGAGATGATTTAATAACATTACTATATATTATTACCTGATCGGAGCTGTACAGCCTGTATGGTGAGTTATACCCATTGGTGTTTTTGGCTGCAGCGTTTTTGGCCGAATACTGCCAGAGGAACGGTAAAGGTACGGGCGCATCGCACACGTCACCCGACACGTTTGTGACGACGGCGACGTCGACAGGCTGTGCATGGGGCAGCTGACAGTCCACATTGTTGTTGTTGTTGATRCTGTTGTTGTTGATCGCGGTGTTGGCGGTGGCGACGGCTGTGGCCGCTGCGGTGGCCGCGGCGGTCTCCTCGCGTTTCCTAAGCTTGCTGCGAACCAAACGGACGGTTAGAAATTTAGAACCGTTGCTACCCACCATTTTCAAGCTGTCCCTAAGCGTGCTTATGCAATTGAAACGCGCTTTGGTCTGTTCGAGGGTAACACCGGTGGCCGGGACTTTCGGGTAGGCCACCACGCCGCCAAACGTAACGGTTTTGGCGGAGCACATAGCGACAAGCGTCACCGGTCGCGAGAGTGACGAAAATAACGACAACGAAGCCGACGGTAGTTTAATGTTGTGCCGTTATATATTTGGTGTCACACTTGTGTAGAGAGATGAAAAAAACGTTTCCGTTCGTGTTCAAAACGGTACGATCGCACCAACACACACAGACACACTTAATTATAATAATATACGAAATTAATATAATTTAATCGTACGATATTATTATTATTATACTGAATACGCTATTCTAAAATTATTATTATATTACGTTAACGACTAGTTTTATTATCACAGCCTCAAGTATGTTTCGACGAATATTACACAATAAATATATTGTACCGGACGTCCGACGACGATGCGGTTCTTATTCAAGTCTTTTTGTTTTTCAACACGATATATAATATAACCGACCGGCGAGGGGGAGGAGAGGAGAACGTCGGTGACCGGTGGTCGTCGAAGAGAACAACAATTATTATTAAAAATTAAAATTAATATCAATTAAAAAACACGCGCGTGAGCGTCGCGTCTCGGGTGGGTTAGGTGGTAGACGACGACGACGACGACGACGAGTGTGGTCGCGGCCACGTAGGGTTGACGAACGGAGTTATTAACTGAACGGCTGGTGAGTGGGCCTGATCATTTTCCGGGAGCGTGTCCAAAGCGGTGGCCTCTGTAAGTGGTGATGGTGGTGGTCGCCTGCCGTGGACGACAACGACGACGGTACTTTGCGACAACCGACGCACATTCGAAACGCTTATACGTGTGCACGACGGAAACAACAACGCTAATTCGCGGCGAACTGAGAATATTATTATCGCCGGAGATGTGACGACTGTGGCCGCACGAGCAGCAGAGAGAGTGTACGTGTCGACGACGACGACGGGACGGAGCGCTCACACACTGCAGTCACGCGCAAAGTGCAACGACACTGCGACGGGCAGCAGACGAGCTGTGGCGCGGGCGAATCCGCATGAGCGACTGGTCGTGGAAATGCCGTGAACGGTAGACCGCTGGCTGTTGTAGTGCCGCGCGAGCGAGGAGACGGTAAATGCGATACGGTGCCGAACGACGACGACGACGACGACGCGTTGTGGCCGACGACCGGTGGGAGCGCCGCCGCCGCCGCCGCCGGTGCCAACCCTCTACCGCCGCTTTCCGTCCGCGACGCGGCACACCRCCGTCCGGTCACCACGTTGCCACATCGCCCGTCCGTTAGGCGGAGGTGTACCCGCGCCGGTGGGGAGGGGAGGAGGGGAGACGGCTAGACGGGATTCGATTCACGTCGCGTTGTAACAATGATATTATTATTATTATTATTATTGTCAAGTGTGCATGTGTAATGTGGGTGCGTGTGGGTCTACGCAGCCAAACGAACCATTGACGATCAACCCTAAATAAYGCGTTTTTTTGTCGTGCGAGTGGTGTAGTTCACTATACTATACCACTGCTATACCATGATGTCGGTTACATATTATTATATTGGACCTTAAAATGTTGGTGTGTTAGAATCATACACAAAGCATATTCCATACGAATTACCTAGTTTATTCCTTTGTTCAAAATATTTATTTCTACCAATAATAAAAATATTAWTTATCAATTACTTAAATATAAGTGCTAATATGAAAGTATAAATATCAGTTAGCTATATGTATTCGATGTTCAGATAAATAATTCTCCTGTCTTCAATTGCAGATTTATATCAATAACTTTTTAATAATTGATTTCAACGATTTTTTTATTTTAATATTCAACAGTGACATAATATAGTTTGAAAAACGTTCTTTTGTAACTATTTTCTATTGGTCGTATTTCATACAAATCAATTCAGTAACCATACCTATTCTCGCATAATCATGGTACCTAATCAATCAAATAAGTTCGGGGTGCCAAAATTGAGGGCGCTAAGCACTAACCCTCCCCCACATATAGTTGTGCCTATATGAATTTGTTTCTTTACAGTACGTTACGTTCAGCAGTATCGTACCATGCCCGTAGCTACGGTGGGGGCAAGAGGGGGGCGTTTCCCTCMCTAAATCCAATAGCTGCCCCCTCTACAAATATCAAAAATATTAGAAATCAACAATGTTTTTATATATAATAGTGCTCCCTTAAAATTAGGTTTTTCCCACTTGAAAATTTGGTCTTGCTACTATCGTACACAATCTCTGCCGAAGACCGAAGTGGTTAGGTGGTATATCCTCATATCCTTCCACCCCCTCCTTGGCCACGGGAGMCATCGAAGCGTCGGTTGTTATTATGAGTTTACGGGGAAAGTATATTAATATTATTCCAAATAGATATACAGATATCTACATATTATTCTGTTAACAAATACCTTGAAAATCGAAAAAAAACGTAATTCATTATACCTTATGCTATATATATATATTAGGTATGTCAGGAATTTTAAACAATAAAATGTGAAAACGGCAACTATGACGGCACGCTAGAATCTTGTCCAAAATAGAAACAAAAAAAAACATTTTTACATAATATAATTTATAGGTATTATTATAAATTCACCATCCCAGTCCGTCGTCTGAGAGTCCTATATATAATGTTTTGTGTATACCTTCGTATACGRCTGTAAAATATTTAATGTTTTGCGTATCATATTATGTACATTTATACATATTGTGTACAATGTACATAGTGCACCGAATAACGATTTTTATCAGCTCATCGGTACCTACGAGTATAAATAACCGAATAGTCACACGAACGTACATGGCATATACGAATTTTTACTGTCAATTATTATTATTATTTTTAAACGCGTTATAGATCATATGTTATATAATATATATATGTACGTTTTCGGCGTTTGTTTTCTCTCGCGCACCGAGGTACCTATCGCATTATTATGCCCACATACCCGCAGTCAAATGCCTACACAAACCTCTGCTCGGTTATGTAAAGATATACTTATTAGGTTACAACATACGATTGAGAACGGTCATCATTCATCGATACCTATTTTTTAGACGCTTTACGATCGAGTTCGCATATAATATTATATACTTTGCCATCTGAAAATCTTGCAACCWCATACCGGTGTTACGATATTTGGTTATTGCCGTTTTCATTTAGGTCTGCAAGCTCGGTGGCGTAAAGTAAGATATTATACTATTATTTTTTTTTATGAAGTTTTTCTTTCCTAATTAAGACGACAACGTTTAAAAAAATGCTTAGAGAAACACGAGAATGCATAGGTTTTTCATAATTTATGCGTTATTTTATTAAATATTTTATTCTATTTCGACTTGAATGTAGTTTGGCAACGTAGCACTTGATTTCGTTCTCTGCAATATAGCACTGCTTTTTTTCGAGTAAGTGGTTATTTTATTGTTTCATTTCGAACGTTCTCAATCGTATTTATTATATTTCAAAACCTCGATCCGCCGGTTTCTACAGTTCGGATTCGTTTTACTGTCGAAACATATAATATTAATATCAATTGATAATATTCGATAATCCGGAAACGTATATTTTGTGGTTCTCCTCGTCGCCATGTTCCATATTATCATCGGTAATATACGCGTATTTTAAATAATTGTAATTCTTGAACACCGACCGTCACCCCGCCGACTGCAAGTACCTACCTATATATACTGCATTATATCATTATTTATATATATACATATATCACGTGTATAATTATTATAATTCGTATAGGTATATATTGCGATGTACCTAACATTAAATTTTGAAATGTTAAATATTCAATAGTGCAGGATATATAAACGTATACGCATCGATTTCGCCGTAGGTATATATTACGTATAATGTATATGGACGTTACCAGCTGCCGGTGCTATGTAGTGGTGCTACCCAATATTATAATATAGAATTATACCTATACTTAGATTATTATAAAAACATTTTTAAACCATTTATTTTTTTTGTAAATTCAACATTTTTAAAGTCATAATTTGACGGAAATATTATTACATTATTATAATATAATATAATAGTCGTAATATACGAAATATAATGTTTTTAAAAAGTGGATTTTKTACGTCTCACTATATTTTATTAYAAATATAATAATTTATATTATGTTTGGAGGGAGATGTRAGATTATTGGTGGAACAAAATCCAAGTTGATTCGCATTTTTCTCAAGTTGCCGTTTTAAAATCCTAATCAAAATGCATTTTAAAATTGAAAACCAGTTTGAGAGTCCATTATTTTACTAGGTCGAAGCATTACTTACATGTTCATTATACATCTATATATTCAACTCGTTTTCAAGTGAATGTTTTCATTTACTTTCATATAAAAGCAAATAATATTTTATTTTCAATAAACTTTATTAATTTATGACGTAGGAATATACGATTCTGCAGGTAATCATCATGCCTCTCGTAGTAGTACATGATGGCGAAGAATTATAAAAAAAAAATAACGAATTCAACAATAATTCACTTCGTCATTGTACAACAATAATATCTACACGGTTTAGGATATAGTTTGTGATGAATCAATACAAATTGAACGTTTACAGAGATTAATTCATATTTATACTCGCCTAAGCCTCGTCTAAACGCACGGGTACACTGTAATTAATGAAATCTTATAAATTATCATCAATTGTTTCCGCAGATTAAAGGAAATCCAGTCATACTACACTCATAATATAGGTAGTCATCACGTACACGATGGCATATATTATATAAGCTGTTGCCATACTATATATTATACCATAATCCTAGTCTAAATACGAGTATAGGTATCTACGTGATAAAAGCTTATTTAATAAACGGTTGCGTCAATGATGATATTGAATATCCTCATGCTGTGTATTATATATATAWATTTGT